CCCCCCCGCGCCCCCTCTCATCCCTCCACGCCCCCCGCATCCCCCCGTCGGGCCCCGCCGGGCCGGGCCGGGCAGGGGGCGCGGGCTGCGGGCCGGGGGCGGCGGGGCCAGCTGCCCGCGGGGGGGTCCGGTGCCCGCAGCACATGTGCTGTCACTCAGCCAGTCCCGCCGCTATTTTAGCTCGGGGCCGGCGGCCGGGCTGCGCCCCGCTCCGCCATGGGCCCCCCGCTCCTGCTCGCCTGCCTGCTCGCCCCGCTCTGCGCTCGGGTAAGGGGTGCGGGGGCTCCGGGCTGCCGGGGATGGCGTGGGAGGGGGGGCGATGGGGACCCCCAGCTCCGTGCCCCGGGAGGGCTGGCTGCGATGGGGAGCCTGGACGGAGAGCCAGGGAGCGGCCGGACCCCAAACCTTGTGGAGGCTCATCCCTGGAGGCGGCGGGGATGGGGCTGGGGGTGACGGGGGCTCGCAGCCCCTCTTGAGGCATTTCCCACCCCACAGATGGCSGTGGCAGGGGGGGGCCTGCGGCTCCGGCACATTGCCTGCGCTGTGAGCGGGATGGGCTGACACGGGATTCGGGGGAGGGTTAGGCACTTAAAGACACCCCGCTCCCCTTTTTGTCACCCCAGCTGTGATCCTAGACCCCTCTGCATCCCCCTGCCCACTCACGGCCCCCCTGAGCCCTTCATCCTGCTCTCTGGCCTGAGCCACATGGGGCCGTTGGGGTTTTGGCCTGGACCCTGCACTTGGCCGCTTCAGGGTTGGGGAAGGAAAGGGGCTCTGCAGGGCCGCCCCCACAGGAACGGAGCCCCCGGCGTCCCTCCCGCACATCCCGATCCCCCCCAGCTCCAGTGGCCCCCAGGGACGGGCGGGGGKTTCTCCTGCGGGAGGAGGGCACAGAGAAAGAGCTGGAAGCTGCAGCGCCTCAGAACGAGCCCCGTGTCGTGGCCATCTGGTGGGGCTGGCACACAGCCCCCTCCCCACAGCCCCCTCGCCAGGGACCCCCAGCCCCGCTGTCCCGGTCCCCGTCCCCCGCAGGGTGCACACGCGGCCCTGGGGCTCCTGGGACGCCCTGGCATCAGCGGCGCTGGCACAGCTGGGCACAGATGTGGGCGGGAGGCYGGCGCTGCCCAGATGTGCTCCCTCCCCGGCGCCCAGCACGGGGGTGGCATGGAGCCGGGAGCGGAGGGTGTCRGCTGCATGGCCAGCTCCCTGCCCCCGCCCCACATTCCCCGTAGTTCCGAATTCCCACAGCGCCCCCGCAATGCCCTGACCTCGGTCCCGCACAGCCCA